CATTTTGAAAAGATTTTTGTAAATTCAGTTGATAGAAGTTCAAGAGACTGGACTGTCGTAGCAGGCGTAGATAATATACCTCTTACACTTAAAGTAGATACAGGAGCTCAAGCAAATATTTTAGTAGCCAGTAATTTATCTGTTTTAGGTTTAGATAAAAATAATCTTATTCAGTCAAAAGCTAGACTTGCAACATATACAGGTCAGCCAATCAAATGCATAGGCAAGTGCTCCCTGCGTATAAAATACGAAGGTAAAAATTACTCACTTGACTTTTTTGTGGTAGATGCAAATAAAGCATGCAATATTTTAGGACTAGAATCTGCTATTAAAATGGGATTAGTTAATCCTGTATATAAAATTAATGAAGCTAATTTCACTTTAGAGTATGACGATTTATTTCATGGCTTAGGTTGTATGAAAGGTGAATATGATATAAAATTGAAACCTAATGTTTCACCTGTTGTACATGCGAGTAGAAGAGTTCCACTTGCAATAAAACCTCGTTTAAAAAATAAATTAGATGAATTAGAGAATTTAGATGTCATACGTAAAATAACGCATCCAACTGATTGGGTAAACTCCTTGGTCATCGTTTACAAACCTAATGGTGATTTAAGGCTTTGTCTAGATCCTAAAGATCTGAATAATGCAATACAAAGACAACATTTTGAATTACCAACGTTAGATGAAATTACTAGCAAATTGTCAGGTGCGTCATTTTTCAGTACTTTAGATGTTAAAAATGGTTTTTGGAACATAAAATTAACGTCAGAAAGTTCTGATTTATGCTGTTTTAATACACCATTTGGTCGATATAAATTTCTGAGAATGCCCTTTGGGTTATGTAGTGCTTCAGAAGTTTATCAGCATAGAATGCGTCAAATATTAGAAGATTTAGAAGGCGTAGAAGTATATATCGATGATATACTTATTTGGGGTAAGACAAAAGAAGAACATGATATTAGATTAAGGAAGGTATTTGATAGACTTAGGCTAGAAAATGTGAAACTCAATAAAGAAAAATGTAAAATTAATGTCCCTGAATTAAAATATTTAGGTCATATAATAAATAAAAATGGTATAACATTAGATAATAGTAGAATCACTTCAATTATATCAATGAAACGCCCCAGGGATAGGAAAGAACTAGAACGATTTCTAGGAGTAGTAAATTATGTCTCAAAATTTATTAAAAATTTCGCAGCTATAACTTCACCTTTAAGAAATTTACTTAAAAAAGATGTTGAATTTGAGTGGCTACATGAACATGACAAAATTTTTAATGAATTAAAAAATAAGTTAATTAATAAACCAGTATTGCAATTTTTTAATGAAAAGCTTCCGGTTGTTTTGTCCGTGGATGCTTCAAAAGATGGTCTTGGTGCTGTTTTAATGCAAAATTGTTTACCGGTAGCTTATGCCTCAAAAGCATTAAACGAATGCCAAAAGCGTTATGCACAAATAGAAAAAGAATTGCTTGCTATTTTATTTGGTTGTGAAAAGTTTAACCAGTTCATCTTTGGCAGGAAAATAATTATTGAAACGGATCACAATCCGTTAATAGGCATTGTTAAAAAGCCATTAAATTCTTGTTCACCACGAATTCAACGTATGTTGATAAAATTACTTAAATATGAATTTGATTTAGTGTATAAGCGTGGTAAAGAGTTATATATAGCAGATACTTTATCAAGGTCATTTAACGAAAATGAAATGTTAGAAATAGATTTAGATGAAAAAAATATTGAGGCTAATATTAATATGATGATTTCTACTTTAAATATTAGTCAGAGTCAATTAGGTGACTTTCAGAATTTGACTGAAAGTAATAATGAAATGAGATTACTTAAGAATGTGATTGTTAATGGATGGCCTGATCATAAAAATTCTTTACCTGAAGATATCAGACAATATTGGCATGTTAGAGATAGTTTAACATATAAATCTAACTTAATATTTAAAGGTGATTGTATAGTGATACCTTATGAGTTAAGAAAAGAAATGTTAAGATGTTTACACTATCCTCACTTAGGGATTACAAAAACTTTATTAAGGGCAAATGATGCTATGTATTGGCCTGGTATGATTCACGAAATAACAGACTTGATATCTCGATGTGAAACATGTAAGCTTTTTAGTAACAATAATAAAAGAGAAACCCTAATACCGCATCCGGTGCCAGAATTATGTTGGGAAAAGGTTGGAATTGATCTGTTTGAATTGAATGGTCATACTTATATACTAGTAATAGATTATTTATCCAAATTTCCAGAAGTTGCCCTCTTGAAATCCACTACAAGTGATGAAATCATTAATAAATTGAAGCAAATTTTTAGTCGGTTTGGTATACCCAAGCAAGTAATGAGTGACGGGGGCCCACAATTTACCAGTGACATTTTTAATAAATTTTCTCGAGATTATCATTTTGAACATATTCGATCTAGTCCAGGGTACCCACAGTCAAACGGTTTGGTTGAACGAGAAATCCAAACTATAAAAAAACTTCTTAAGAAAGCATTACATGATGGTAGAGATCCGTATTTAGTTTTGTTAGAGTTTCGTAACACTCCAATATCGAATATCATTCCTTCACCAGCCGAAAATTTATTTCATAGGAAACTTAGAGGTATTATTCCTATGAGCAAAAACATGTTCTTTCCAAAAGTCACTCTATATCGCTTTCACTCTCAAGCCCGTTGGAGCAATAATCCAACAACCAGTGAAATATCTGACAAGATCGACGGCTTTACGTGCTATCTGAGGCATATAGATAATAAACTTTTTTAGCTTAACGCAGAATTCAAACCCAGGACCTTAGGATCTTACATAGTTACTGTGCTATATTTGAGATATATATTTAATCTGTGCTCGGTGGCGCCAAGACATTTGTCATGCGATGGTGAAACCAAACAGAATTTAGAATATGGTAGGCTAGACATATCACTTAAAAATAATATATATTATGTAAGAGTTACAAAAAGAATTAAAGCCTTAAACTATTATTAATGGTGTTTTCTTAAATCACACAGTTACTACTTTATTATGTGTTGTATAAAAATAATTATTACCTATATATAATACTTTCTTAGATTTACGCGAATACTTGACATTTTAAATAAAACTATCTTTTCGGATTTTTTCGCGAATTTATTTTGAAACCAAAAATCAAAATAAATTCGCGAAAAAATCCGAAAAGATAGTTTTATTTAAAATACCTATATATATTTAATATTATCAATAAAAATTCTTGTCCCTTACAAAGATAGAACATGTCGACATCGTTTCGTGTTATATGAATAATTTTGTTTCATAATTTCATAACCTCAATTAGACTTTGAAATGCAGTAACAATATTCATTACTATTATTGTAATTCAACTTAATCTCGACGCCATATGACGTTTCCGTTAAGTTTCTACCATGGGAACTCGATTGGTTAAAGCACTTAATTAAATGTAGTCAGCATCCTTTCTAACGTCTCACTGCTAGGCACGGGCCTCTCTCCAATACGAGAGAGATCAGGTCATAGTCTACCACGCTGGCCAAGTGCGGGATGGCGGATTTTACATGTCTTTCAAACTTGCTTAGTTCTCTCAGACATGCAGGTTTCCTCACGATATTTTCCTTCACCGCTTAGAGAATCTTTACTCCTAAAGGAGTAATTTAAAAATTAGAAAAAAAAATAATGAAAATCAGTCCATAATTAACGAAAGCTCGTACGAAAAACCTAAATCGAGTACTTCTTCGTATACTTTTTTTCTGACGTTTGTCTAAATAGCCTAGACACTCTATCGCCCCATAAACAAACATTATCCAGAAAAACAAGCTATCTTTTCGGATATTTTTGCAGATTTATTTTGATTTTTGATTCCAAAAACCACGTGGAACTAAAAATCAAAATAAATCCGCGAAAAACTCCAAAAACAATAGTAAAATACATATATTTAAAATATAAAATATTGGCGTAAATTTTTCCTACATTTAATTAGTTTAAAGGTTTGGTTTTAACAAATAGTAGGAACTGCACCTGATTGGGCTTTTGCTCATCTGCGCTCCACGCGTTATATACTAACATAATATTATAATAAAAAAATAAATCATTATGAAATATGAATTCAGGGCGCTGCGCTGGATCTTGTTGCCTTTACCTCAATCAGAAAATTCAGAGGGTTGATGTAAATAATGTAAAATTTTCTGGATCTCTTTTAAAAATGGGTGTTCCACAAGGATCTATTCTTGGCCCCTTTTTATTCTTAATAGATGTACACATATTAATGATTTACATTTCTACATTAATAAATTATGCGATATTCAACTCTTTGTTGACTATACCTCCTTAATTTTTAAAATTGAGCGTAGTAAACCTAATTATGACGAAGTAAACAGTGCATTGTCGCATATACCTACTTCGTTGTGCTTGTACTACAAACACAAGAAATCCACATAAAATAACTCACAAAAACGATTAAATTATATGAAACAAGTAATTCGCATCAAGTGACAAAGCATCGACTGTCTTATAAAAACTGCTTATAAAAAATCACAAGTAGCCGGTAAAAAACAAATTCCAATTCGCCATATACTACGGGTTTCGCGCGGCTATCCTTGTGTATTTCATAAATATGATTAAGTAATAATTAATAAATAATTAAGTGTACGTGCTAAATGTATGTAGATAGGTGTGTGGATAATATCAATACGTAAATTAAACATTAAATGAAATATAAATATTATTAAATGAAAAGTTTAATAATATATAAATATGATAAATTAAATATATTATGGTATAAGTCATCGACACTTCGTCTATATAATTCTTTAGTTTCGACGTTTTTATTAGTGTCTACATTATATGCAAAAAATTATAGCTTAATTTGATACAATAATTAATAAATATCATAAACTACCGACTAGCCCTCGTCTTAAATATGTCGCATTCGTCGTGCCAATCGTACCAATAATCAATTTTCGTATAATTAAAACGAACCGTCTTTACAGATTTGGATATTCGGTGACGTCTGGTGCTCAGTATGGCTCGCCGTAGATGTGTGGATGTGTACAGCTTCCATATTAAATCTATGCGCTATATCTCTGGACCGCTATGTGGCCGTGACCAGGCCAGTGAGCTATCCTAGCATCATGAGCAGGAAGAGGGCTAAGGCCTTGATAGCTGGTTTATGGGTGCTATCTTTTGTTATTTGCTTCCCACCACTGGTTGGCTGGAAGGATAAGAAGGTAAGTCACAGTCAATATATAAATTAATTAAATTAAATCTATACAGATAAATAAAATTGAAGTATCTGTTTGTAATGTCAAAATCACAGCATTTTACTAAATGCATAAGAAATAATTATATGCGGTAGGTACTTTAAGAAAAACACATTTTTTTAATTTTTTGTCTGTCTATCTGTTTGTTCCGGATAATGTCTGAAACGGCAGGTCTGATTTTGACGGGACTTTCACCGGAAGATACTGATGTTATAGGGAGTAACATAGGTTACTTTTATCTTGGAAAAAGAATTAGGGTCCGCTCAAAAAATTCAAAACGTACCTCGGGACGAACCCGAGCGAAGCGAGGGTGAGTCGCTAGTTAAGTATAAAGACTATCAAGTTTTAATTTTTTAAAGAAATTTTCTTCGGAAGATCCGATTCGATTTCGGGACATCCTTGCACAGGTATATAATATTTACTTAAATTAAGGGATTAATGTATTTTAAAAACTCTTTTTGTATCAATAATTCATTTTAATTTCAAAAAAATCATATATGTATGTATTGTGTGTTTGTTTGTCAGTTTGTGTGTATGTGAAGATTGCGCAAAAGCTTGTACGTCTTTCTAGTATATTACCACCAGCGTAGCAAGCTATGATTGTATATGTACTTCAGTTATTAGCTTAAGAATATTGTGTGTTTTAATCAGGATGAAGTCAGAAGGAGTAGCTAATATTATATTTTAAGTATTGCGATAAACCTCAAAATATTTTCTATAGTTTAAAATATTTTCTAGCTGTTAGCATTATAATTTACTACTCTTAATTTTGTAGAACCGTAAAAACTGAAAACTGTTATTTAACTGATTGATGAAACTTAGCAAATCATAAAATGAGAGGAATAATCAAAAAGTTTTTAAAGAGAAATAAATAATTTAATCAAAGATCAAATTTCAAGAGTAAATGAACGTCTGCCCTCTATTTTATGATATACTAGCATTGCCCGCGGCTTCGCCCGCGTTCAGATGACCAAAAACCGAATTCATAGATTTTACATATTGGTATACTCTGACATGCAGTTTTTGTATTTTTTCTCAGAAATGAGATATTTTCCTGCAATAAAAATTATATGTTGACCCGGATAACCAGCTATCACCATACCAAATTTTATCAAAATCCCTCCGGTTGTTTTTCCGTGATGCGGTAACAGACAGACAGACAGACAAAAATTCTAAAAACTGTAGATTCGGCCTCTGTATCGATAATAATGTCTATTTCAATAAGATTTTCCAAAAAATATTTAATGTACAGATTCGGCTTAGTTACAATTTTATTATATGTATAGATTAGGTATAATATTTCTGTCAACTGTATAAAAAATAAGTAACGTTAGACTAGCGTGTGCCCGCGGTTATGTTTGCGTATTTTATTTTTGTATAATATTTTACACATACACGTTTCATCCTTGCTGCGAGATGTACACTCGTATGTATGTTTTCGACTGCATAAAACTATATTCCATCGTGAACTTGTTTTCATCTTTTTTTAGTTAGTTTTAATGCAGTCGGGTTTTTTTTATTTTTATAATATTTTTTTATCTTGTTTAGTAGCTGACAAGCTTTAATATTATCAATGAAAAAATGTTCGTAACAATTATTTTTATATAGATAGGTAAAGACAAAACAATTCAGTATTAATATTATTTCTATTTTTTTTTAATGAATATAGTCGTCTACTAGTATACGTATGAAATAACTAGCGACTCACCCTCGCTCCGCTCTGGTTTCTCTCCAGTTACGTTTTAACGTTCAATATAGATTTCTCAGAAATGAGATATTCTCCGCAGTAAAAAGTATCCTATATATTGCCCGGATAACCAGCTATCATCATACTAAATTTCATCAAAATCTGTAAAGTGGTTTTCTCGTGATGCGTTCCCAGACGAATAGGCAAACAGGCAAAAATTCTAAAAACTATAGATCCAGCCTCTGTATCGATAATAATGACTATTTCAATAAGATTTTCCAAAAAATATATATTTACAGATTCGACTCAGTTACAATTTTATTATATACCTATAATAAAATTGTAACTGAGTCGAATCTGTATATCACATATATGTATAGATTAATTGTATTTATATAAATATGTTTATTTTCTGATTAGGGTACAATGTACGTGTACATAAGATTATACAGGCTAGGCACATGATGGGCCCAGAACGCAAAAAAGCATTTTATATGAATCTTGTTAGTCCCTTTGAGATAATCAACGAAGTACGTGACTGGTATTCAGATCAAATAAAGCCTTAGCGTATTTTATTTTAAAACCGAATTCGGTATCAACTCCTATATTCTGTAATCAAATTTACCTCAAATTGCTTTTCGTCAAGTTTTCTATATTATTACTAGCAGAACCCGCGGCTTCAACCGCGTTTAAACTTCCGATCGCTACCAAACTTCACAGGATCACCCGCTGGGTTAATCTGAAGATTACCTGAAAATTTCATCAAAATCGCTCCAGCCATTTTGGAGTCCATACGGAACACACATATTTATATAGTCGGTGAACCAATTTTCAGACGAAGATTGTGTGTTGGCATTCCTGTCATATCTAGAAAATTTAAAAATCCTGTTGGAAAGTTGACGGTCTCGTTTTCATAAATTAAGTGTCGGTTGACTTAAAAGTAAAATAAAAAACGTGCCGTGTTCCTATTCATGTTGATTAATTATATTAACTATGCATAAAAATTAATGAATCTAAATGCTGTTTGATATCAGATTAGAAAGTTAAATGTCACATATTCCATTTTCACTCTGTCAGACATATCAGATTACAGCAACGTAATCCCATAATTTAATTTTAAATGTTCAAACACACATAAACTTTTTACAATTATCGTTAATTAAAGCCTAAGAGCTTTAATCAATCTCGTGATCTGTGAAATGTTCCAAACCGTCTTTGGCGTAATATCCTACACAAATTTTGGTATCTTGTTAGTAACTTAGGTCCAACGGTCTGCGAGTCAATAAATGAGATGGTCAAGCAAATTTATATATGTACCTACCTATATCTATTTGTTTTTAGGAAACAAACAGTATTTAAAACATTTACAGTAAAGGCGTAAAAGACAGCACATCTATCTATACTATAATAAAAGAGTAGAGGTCGAATGTCTGTACATATCAAAAAAATGCTAAAAACCGAGTCAGGGTGATGTAAGAAGACAAATAGAACAAATCCAGATTTTTTTCAATTTTTTTTTGTTTCTCTGCCTGTTTGTCTGTTTGTACGAGTTAATCTCCGAATCTATTGGACCAATTTGAATGAAATTTTGCATGGTGGTACCTTATATCCCCGGGCAACATCTTAGATACTTTTTATCCCGAAAAATCAAATAGATCACGTGGGATAGTTAAAAAACTGTAATAATTTATACAGCTTAGTACACAACAATTTATGCACCTAATTTAGTAAAGTTTAACATTCTGATACCTTATATTGCCGGTCAAACAACAGGTTACTTTTCATCCCGGAGAAATAAACAGTTCCCGTGGGAACTAATAAATCTCTATTAGTGTTTTTCTAGAGGCGAACCCGAGCGAAGCATGGGTGAGCCGCTAGTCTATACATATAATAAAATTCTGAGTTGAATCTGTACATTAAATATTTTTTGGAAAATCTTATTTGAAATAGTCATTATTATCGATACAGAGGCTGAATCCATAATTTTTAGAATTTATGCCCGTCTGTGTGTCTATCTGGGAATGCATCACAAGAAAACCACTGGACAGATTTTAATGATTTATCCGGATCTACATAAAGGATACTTTTTCCTACGGAAAGGTTCTACATATTAGTATACTCTTACATTGCAGTTTTTGTATTTTTTCTCAGAAATTAGACATTTCCCTGCGGTAAAAATTATCCTATGTGTTGACCCGGATAACCAGCTAACAATATACCAAATTTCATGAAAATCCCTCCAGTGGTTTTTCTGTGATGCAGTAATAGACAGACAGACAAAAATTCTAAAAACTATAGATTCGGCCTCTGTATCTATAATAATGTTTATTTCAATAAGATTTTCCAAAAAAATATTTAATGTACAGATTCGACTTAGAATTTTATTATATGTAAAGATAGATAGATTAAGAAAAAGGCGTGGTGTACTGTAGACTAATAATACTTATATTCTTTTAACTTATTATATCTAGATGTTCTTTTATCCTTGGTGGCCTTAAAGCCTTAATTTAGCCTTGACGCAAAATTCGTTATTAGCTGACGCCTGCAACCAATAAACTACCTATCTGCAAAATTTCAGCTTTATAAATCAGGTAGTTTCCGAGATATAGTGTTGTCAGTGAGTGTATGACCTTTCGCTTTTATATATTAACGTTCAAATGACGACACGTTTGGCTCAGTTTGTAGTGACCCTACTTGCCGTGACAGCGGTCGCGGCTTCGAGTCCCGCTGGGGGCATTCATTTGTGTAATGAGCACGAATGTTTGTACTCCAGTTCCACAAACAGTTATATATGTGTAATGTATCAACTATCTGGTATCCATAACACAAGCCAGAGCATACCATGGAACTAGATGGCGCTGTGTGTTAATGTCCCAACATATTTATTTAAAATGTTAGAGTTAGTAGTACATATGTAAAGATAATACATTAAGATTATATCCACTGTAGATAATTACTTCAAATAATATAGTTACTTGTAATGTGAAACGAAAAAATAAAAATTTGGATAAGTGCGACTCTTACTCGCACACTAAGGGTTCTACAATTCCAACCTTATAATTATATATTATAAGGGTGAAAACAAAACAAAATATTTAACCCTTAATTTTTGAACCACACTACTGATTTAATCGAAAGCAAAAAATAAATTTGTATTTCACAGTATTTGTCAAAGATACTATGAAAAAAACAAACTTAAGTTTGTGATATCTGTACTAATATTATAAAGAGAAAAGATTTGTTTGTATGTTTGTACCGAATAAGCTCCAAAACTACTGAACCTATTTAGATGAAATTTAATAAGAAGATAGTTTGAGACCCTGGAAAGGACAAAGGATAGTTTTTATCCCGGAAATCATACCTTAAGAGGATGAAAATGGGGATGAAAGTTTGTATGGAGAAGCATTTTAGGGACGAACCCAAGCGAAGCGAGGGTGAGTCGCTAGTAAAATAAAAAACATAGATTCCGATTATGAGAGTGGAATAACCGTTTTAGCGGTTTTAAATCCGGAGTAACCTTTTCTTTAAAAATTAATTACAGTCACAGAGAAATATTCCAATTTTATTTTAAGTACATACAGTAGACTCACAAAAGGCCGCCCACGCCATACTTCGAAGAAGTGCTTCTAAATCCTTTACTAAACAAAGATACAGTTTACAACAGATTTATTTTAAATAAAATTTAAATGGTATACCTTTTATGTTTCTAAAAAAACTAAATAGCAATTTTTATTCAATATAGCCATTCTTACAAATTGTTAAAACATACATCTGTGATAATAAAAATAATCCAATCAAGAGATAAACATGTGTGGAACTAACATAAAGTAAATTATATGCACGTTAGCTACAATGTTACATTAAAAATACTGTAACCCAGTATTTAAAAGAGCAATCGTTGAGTTAAAGAGCAACTGTTGAGTTTCTCGCCAGCTCTTCTCAGCAGAACTGCCTACCAAGCCGGTGGTACCTTCCTCGTGGACTGACTTCTCTTTAAATGAAATTACCAGTTCTTAAGAGCTTTTATAAGTCTAATTGCAGTTAAAAGTACGTCAATTACTCTATATCATTTAATCTGAAGAAACCAATACGGCCATTAATATATTTTGTTCAAAACAGTAACAACAAAAAAATGGAAACAACTTGACGAAGGAAACAGTGACGTATTATGCAATCGGAGACACGCATGTTTTGTATTTGCTGTGAATCTTGCCACGAGTGCGGATGCGGAAATTACTGCATTTACTAAGTAAAACTCATTGATCGCCTGACAGACAACGCATAGCCTAAACCACTGGTTATAGGAGCATGACATTTCACACAAGTGTTTTTGGTGAAGAAATTTGGTGCTTAGGAATGAATCTTAAATAGGTTATCGGAATAAGTTTAGGCTTACTCGTACGTGTTAACACTTTCGGCTCAGTTTCTAGTGACTCTACTTGCCGTACTAAAGGTCGCGGCATCGAGTCCCGCTAGGGGCATTCATTTGTGTGATGAGCACGAATATTTGTACTCCAGTCATGGGTGTTTATATTTATAATATGTATGTATTTAAAGTTGTATATGTGTAGCTTATCAACTAAGTATCTGGTATCCATAACACATCTTCGTAGCTTACCATGGAACTAGATGGTGCTGTGTCAATGTCCTAACTTATTTATATTTTATATTTATAGGTTGATAACCCTCCTTTGGGCTTCGCCGCAGTTGGTTAAAAAAGGGATTAAACTAGAACAGTGTAGAAGTTCATTTTTGAAGTTAGATACGTGTTTAGATTGCTGATGGGAAATCGCATCGCTTCTTTGCTTATTAAGTACCAGCTAGCCTGACAGACGTTGTCCTGTTCAAACAATAAAGTTTGCGACCTTTGCGTTCATACAAATATCCTTTAGATAAAGCACTTTCAATTTTTCCGGAATTTCTCTATTTTCCGGGCAATATTCCAGCTTTTCCAGTATAAACCTTATTTCAGCTACTGCGAACTTTTTAAAAAATAAATTAAAATAGCTAAATCGGCCCAACCGTTCTCAAGCATTTAATTTTTATTTATATACATAGCTCACAGGATATTTTGCAAATACGTTGCAAGACCAAACAGCAGGCAACGTCTAGTATCAAATTTTAGATGTGACTTTTATTTAATTAAAGTACGAAACGCTACAAACTAATTTAAAATTTAAACAGATTACATTATGCGTAAACAGACAATGAATATTCAATTGAAATATCAACAATATTACTAAATATTATATTAATTAAAATAATGTTAATGAAATATATCGCATTAAATTACTAGAGCAGATCAAAAGGCGATTTTTATCCAAATAACAATTTTGATGACTGAAAATTAAGGACTGAAAGTGAGAGCGGGTTCAAAACTTTCTTTGTTATCTGATAAGATTTCATTTTTATTTACTAACTTTTTAATTTATGAACCAACGCACAGACAAATATACAAAAATTCTAAAAACAGTTGTTTTGGGTTCTATTACGTTGATAAAAACTCTCAATAATAGTTTATCTCAAATATTTTCCATGTACATACAGCGATCAACATTTATTGAAATTTAAAAAATATACATGAGCCACGGGCAAATGATAATTTAAAACAAAAAAATATTATTAATATATTATTGTACCACGACATATAAATAGATACCTGTTGTATTCGAACTTAAACTTAAAGGCTATTTATAGAAAAATTGTAACTACGTTCGTATGGAAAGTAAAACTTCTATAAACACCCACACAGAGTAACTTTCCGATTTATAATATTAGTATCGAAATGCATATACATAATTGTTCCTATCTAAGTTACCTATGTTACTACAGTAACTACCGCTAGGTACAACCCTATATTATGTCTCATACACAATCTTTGATTTCTGATTGCAGCCAGAAGAATCAGAGCTCAAAGAAGACTGGACATTAAACCCGCCGTGTCCATGGACGTGCGAGCTGACCAACGACGCGGGCTACGTCGTATACTCCGCGCTAGGCTCCTTCTATATACCAATGTTTGTGATGCTGTTCTTCTATTGGAGGATATATAAGGCTGCCGTTAGAACGACTAAAGCTATAAATCAAGGTTTTCGGACTACTAAAGGTGAGTATTGATTGCTATAAATAATATTATTATTACTACTATATAGTTCACACCCCTTCCCTTTACAGTTTGTCAATTCTAACACCTTAAGGTTGTCTGGAAGAGATCGCTGTTTTAGCGATAAGGCCGCCTCTTGTACATAACTCTTTTTATATGTTTCTTGTAAATTTTTCTTTTTTTCTCTTGTGGGTGTACAATAAAGAGTATTTATTATTATTATTATTATTAAAATAGAAAGAACTTATTATGAGCCAATATAGCGTAAGGAACGTCGTTCCTTACCGGGTATCCCACGACACCTCTCGCCATTTTTTAGTTTTCTATTAAAAACATAGATCATAGAAAATCAACTTATTTAAATAATAAACTTACATATCAAAAATACATACATATGTACATAATAATAATATTATATTTACATAAATATGATAAGATTAATACAAGACAAAATACTTATAATAATAATATTTAATATATTATGGGTACGTAAATATATAAATAATATCATATTAAATAGATAATAATAGAACACTATACAAAGAATAATAGACTAGTTTTAACAGATTTTACAAAGATTTGTTTTTATGCAAAGGTTTATACTATTATAACCTTTAGCTTTTCAGGCAATAATTTAATTAAATACCAATAAAAAATTGGTCCCATATAATTTCATGTAGAAAATTCACTTCTAAGAGAAATATTTACTTATTAAGATATTTTTAAGTTTAAAATAATATTATTACTTTTAAAGTGAAAATTATTTTTTTAATTTCTTACTAGCGATAATGTTTGAAAACTGTCCTCTTATATGATTCGAAAGTGCCTCCACATGAAACATAATTTTCCTCTGCAAATGCTTTAGCTAATAATATGGAGGCACTTTTATTATGAACTACAGTTCACACACTCGGTTTCCCGTGCGGGCGCGTTGCCACTGTTCTATCTTTGTTTTAAAAAAAAAACAAAAATATTAAAAAACAAATCTGCCAAACAGACATTCTAAAGCATTTTATTTATATTTATATAATTTTATCATTTTCAGGTCGAGGTCTCGGTAGTAGGTTTGATGACAACCGCCTAACACTACGCATCCACAGAGGGAGGGGTTCTGCTAGACCCCACGGCTCACCGTTATCTACAGCCTCTAATCATTCAACGAGCACTTCTCTTAGTGCTTCACCTGAGAGGTTGAGACGGTAGGTAAAAATACTAAAAATCGATATTAATAATTTATGAAAATCGATCCACAATTGGAAAGATATCGGTTTTGAGTACATTATTTTAAATAAATAAATCCTCTCGACCGATTTCGTTCGCGGTAGCCTATCTCATTGAGGATATTCTGCATGGGAGATATTGTAGTGCATAAGTATATGCGCAAACACAAGTGCTCTCTCTGTTCCTTAAACCTCTAAAGCCCAACGAATCAATTCTATAATACCGGTGAGAGATCTCCAAAAATTTCATGAACGTAAATTGCTCGACCTGGAACTCGAACTCAGGACATTTTTGGACGATTTTTGCATCTGAATGCATGTACCAGCTGCAAAAGTACTTAATTGTTAATAATTTCTAAAATATGTTATAACTAGTTATTTATTATGACTCCGCTTGCATTTGTTAGTAATTTTATTTAATCGGATTACTATTAAAATGCGAATGTTTGTACGTGTCTGTATGTTTGTTACTATTTCACGTTGAAACGACTGTACGGGTTTAGATGAAATTCAGTACACAAATAGAGTATGACCTGGAGTAACATGTCCGCTGCTTAGTATGAAATAATATTTTTAATTAAATACAAAATATTAATTTGAAACAGACATCCTTCATAATTTTATAGATAAATATAAATAAGACAATGAAAAAATATAAAGCACTGGCACAGCATCATCTTTCTTTTATAAGAAACAAGAGTAAAGGTCAAGAGTTAAGTCGAGAGCGAGTTGACCAGTCTCGAGAATTTTAAATAATGCTGTATTTCATTTAACAGATTTTCTTTCAAGTCTTATTAGCAGAAAAAATAAACGAAAAATGTCAGCAATAAATTCTTGGTTTTTGCTTGCTGTAAAAGCATCGATACTTTTTATCTGGTAGGTACATTGATTAGTGATGGCCATGGCATGTTAGTATCATTACAAAGAGACACTAGGGATGCATTGGCATAGTGACAATGATTGTATATAAAAATGAATTTAAGATTGAGTGTTTATTTATAACGTATAAATTTACCATTGATGCCTTTGCAATGAAATTTTGGTGAATGGTTTTCTCTACACCAGGGAAGGTTTCTAAAATAGCTCCATCCAAGTAGAATAGATGCCGCGAAAGTCACAACTAGGCTAAACCAGAGCGAGTCACTAGTTTATTGAAAATTAGGTATAAATAATAAATAAGTATGTGAGGACATTAACATACATCACTATTAAGTTCCATGATAAGCTACAAGGCTTGTGTTATGGATACCAGGTAATTAATACACTAGACATATATAACTTTAAATACATAAAAATATAAGCACCCATGACTGGAGTACAAACATTCGTGCTCATTACAAAAATTAATGCTCCTAGCTGGACTCGACCCCGCGACCGCTGGCATAACAAGTAGCGTAACTACAAACTGAGCCAAACGTGTTAAAACCACACAAAATATTTTTCACGTGCATTCCATTTTTAATAGAAACTTTAAAACTATCTTTTCGGTTTTTTTCGCGAATTTATTTTGATTTTTGGTTCCCGACGTTTCGAATGCTTTACAGCATTCATGGTCACGGGAGAGACTGAGGTGTTAGATGTCTCTAAGGTATTATATAGTTGTTACAAACAGCCTACCCACAAATAACAAATTGAATTCAAAAATTGAAAAATGGCACCAAAGTACCTTACAATATTTTAACTTTTAACTTTAAACATTTTTATATAATTTTAATTAGCTTTATAATTGAATATGGAATATTATTTATTTAATTTGAGCTGTTATTATTATAATTATTACAATTTTAAAAACATTAATTAGTAATCTACATATTTATTTTTAGTGTTGCCATTATTATATTTATAACCATAAAGAAAAAATCATAATATATTAATTATTTAAGCCACATAATTAATCTATGTGTAATTTGAAAAAGTTAAGACTAATTAAAAATAATAATTTTAATTTTAATTTGCTATTATTTAAAAAACAAATTATTAAGCAACACATTACTACATACATTTACAAATAAAAAAGTGAAAAATATTAATCAGAAATGCTATCATTTTGATCTACACAGTAAGAATATACTTCATCTACCTATCTGTTATGTTTAGATTTATTATTAGATTTTATTATATTAATAACAGGATCCCATGACGATGGTAGTACCCAGCCATCTTCCCTATTGAAATTTGGATGTTTTTTAATTTCTATGGCTTCTCGAATCATTCTAGGGCGATATCGGTTTTCTTTCGCCAGGATTTGAGGTCTATCGAAGCGAATATAATGGCTTTAGCGGTCCTGACTATGTTTGCAGACAGCAGATGTTGTATTGCGACGGTGCTTCACATCAGCTATGTGTTCTTTGACCCGGGTTCTAATGGATCTCTTTGTTTGTCCGATGTAAGAGAGCCCACAATCACAATCAAGCTTGTAAACTCCTGCATCTTGTAGAGGGATGTGGCACTTGACAGGTGGTAGAAACTGACTAATTTTCTTTGGCGGCTTGAAGTAAGTTTTAATTGAAGCTCGCTTTAGAATGTAGCCAATCTTGTCAGTGACGCCACTCATGTAACGTAGGACTGCAGGGACGCGCTCGACTGTGGCTGGTTTCACTCGGTCCCTGTGACGTAGGCGCGGCACTTGCAGCTTGTTGTCTCGCAGAACTTGCTTGACATGTTGCAGCTCTCCGGCCAGGTGTTGCTCGTCACAGATCCCTCGTGCCCTCTGAAACAAAGATTTTTCCACGGTATCTAACAGTATGGGTCTTCTTTCGATACACAGTATGACTCAAGGTGTTATCTGAGTTACGTATAACTAATACATCTAAGAAAGCTGATGATGATGATGTTCTCCTGACCGATTTCGGCCACGGCGGCCAATCTCATTGAAACTAGCCAACTGCGCAGGAGATATTATAGTGCACAAGTGTACGCGCAGACACAAATGCACTCTATATTCCTGTCACTCTCATACTCTGGTGGGACGACCACTCGACACTACCAGTGAGAGTTAAGGCGCAGGACCGACGGCTTTACGTGCTCTCCGAGGCACGGGGTGAAACACCGCCAACTTCCCAACTCCGGGCTATTACTGAGACTTAATATAAAGAAAGACTCAATAACTAAACTTGGCCCGACCCGGGACTCGAACCCAGGACCTCCGGTGTGCAGCCGTACATGCTAGCCAGTACACCACCGAGGCAGTTAAGAAAGCTAAAGAATTATTAGACACCAGTTCCATTGTAAATTGCATTTTAGGGCTTATGGAGTTAAGATGTTCTAAGAATACAGATATTTTATCAGATGGTAATATTCGTTAAGGTCACAGGTGATGTGTTTAGGGCGGTCTCCTCGAAGGCCTCCACGAAGAAGTTAGCTACAACGGGAGAGACCGGCGAACCCATGGCCATTCCATCCACTTGCTTGTAGAATTCATCATTCCACAATAGATAGCCAGATGTAAGGCAGTGTTTCAAAAGTTCAGTGTATTCTTCTTGCATACTATTGTCCCGTACCTTTCTTGATACTATTTTGACACAGTCCTCTACTGGTAGGCTAGTGAATAGAGACTGTACGTCAAAACTAACCATCGTTTCATTGTCCATGAGTTGTAGGTGTTTTATGTCATTGACAAAATGGTATGAGTCCCTTGTGAACGCTGATGTTTGTCCTCTGAGTGCTGAGAGTACTTTCGCTACTAGTTGGGCCAATTTATAAGTCGGTGTGTCGATTTGACTCACAATTGGACGTAGCGGAGCGTTAGGTTTGTGTATCTTTGGAAGTCCATACAGTTTAGGCGGCTTTGCACAAGACGGAACAAGATTTTTGACATCAAGATTCATTGCATCGTAGTGTTTCTGAATCAATAATATAAAATCAATCTAATATATTCGCGAAAAAATCCGAAAAGATAGTTTTATTTAAAAAGTCAAGTATTCGCGTAAACCTAAGAAAGTATTAATAGAAACTTCATATTTTCAGGCACTCCAGCGCAAGACGGGCTCACGAGAAAGTCAAGATCTCTGTATCTTATCCATCATCAGAACAGATATGTTCAGCCCACGAGAACTCCAGGTCGTCGAGCAGATCACCTAGCCCATCCCTATATGCTGTTCACTATGAGAGAGACGGGAGAGAATTGACAGAGAGTAGATTAAGAGTGAGGCCATCACATCATTTGGCTCCAGGACCTTTGTATGATGACTTTGATGATAAACCAAGGACTAGACGTATGGGAAAGAGGAATATAAAAGCTCAGGTATGTATTAATATAATTAAGCTAAAAAATTACATTTATGTGTAGCTTGAAAAAAATATATTTCTTAGTTCTTTGTAGACTAAAACTAGAGTACCAAAAAAATATGTCAGATGCATAGTTCTTGATTTATAACCATAAAAAATCTTTACTTTTATCTTTATATCCTACTATACAGATGGAGAAAATAAATACTCATATATAAGTAATAAGGTGCCATGAAAGATCGTAGTCTTATTAAATAACATTCTTAGGAGTCTTTATTTTTATTTCCTTTACCGTTCACGGCCAGATATACAAAAAAAAATAAAAAAATAGTTTAGCATTAATTATTGATATTTCAAAAAAATCTTTCGAAAATACCTATTTAACGTTAGACATGATCACTCTAGAGCTTTCTTATAGAAAATAAACTACAAATTCAGGGCCTGTATTATATTTTAAGATATTAATTTTCTTTGCAGGTTAAACGTTTCCGTATGGAGACTAAAGCAGCTAAAACCCTCGGCATTATAGTGGGTGGTTTTGTCTTCTGCTGGCTGCCATTTTTCAGTGTGTACGTCGTCAGGGCGTTCTGTGGGGACTGCGTGACACCAATAGTATTCAGTGTTTTATTTTGGCTTGGATATTGTAATTCCGCTATAAATCCGCTAATTTATGCACTATTTTCTAAAGATTTTAGGTAAGATCGTAGTTTGTATTCTGTTTTATTCTAAACGGCTCACCCTTGCTTCGCTCGGGTTTGTCCGAGGTTAGCTTTAACGATTAGTATGGAATAGATAGACTATAAATTATATGATATATATATTCTATAGCCTTCCTCAGTAAACGGGCATCTAATGCAAAAAGAATTTTTCAAATCGAATTAGTAGTTCCTAAGGTTAACACGTTTAAACCAACAAACTCTGCCTCTTTACAATATAAAATATTAATATATATTAAATAATTACTAAACATGTAATTTAATTTATAATTCTCATTCCAGATTCGCTTTCAAGCGTATTATATGTAAATGTTTCTGTGCTGGAGGAGGTAAGAGACGAGAGTCGGGAGCGGAGGAAGTTACACGACGCCGACCGCCGCACTCGCACTCACATTCGCTTGAAGAGGAAAGCTCTTTACATAACACAAGTAGTGACAGGTAAATAATTTGACTGTCCTGATTTACTTTTTGTAATAATAATGCTATAAACCCCACGAACGAACGAACCAATAGATGGTTCATGTTATGATGATAGGATGTTAAAAAGTACCCGTCTGTCTACAATACTCTCTTGAATTAAGGTGGAGTGGACACTAACAATTTTTTAAGTGTGCCTATTACTTCTAAAATAATCTCCCGCTTTAAACTGCGGTATATGGTTAACGTAAAATAAATACAAATAGTGTCCTTCTTTCCTTGTATTGTATTTCTATTTATAAAAATAACGCTATTAGGTATCTCATAATATTAAATATCGTAATAATAAAAAGAAATCAATTATCTGTGAAAATTTATATTCAAAATAGTACCGTTTTATTAATCATTACCATCGATCAAAAAAGTTCAAGATACACAATCAGCGACAAAAAAAATGTCCTCATCGAATGAGCGCTTATTTGAACATTTGAGCGCGCTTTATATTGAATTATTTTTGTAAAAACAACTTTAAGCATTGCATTTAAGGTTCAATTTACATTGGTGTATATTTATTTAAACTAGAATAATAACTTACCTAAACACAATTTGTGACAGTTTTAAGAGAGCTTTTGCATGGGATTGTGTCCTTTTTAATCGATGATCATTAGTCATTACACTTAAAAGGAATATTTATTGATAGGCATAATTTATACATACATATGTATACTTCATACAAAAGCTTTTATTTGTGAATCATTTTCTTTTTAATTTCAGGTGACGTCCAGCCATGCGACGGCAAAACGCACAGTTTCATAGTACCGTCGCTTGTGTATAGTAGACCTTTAAAATATACTAAGTTTGAAATTATATAAATGTGTGTAAAGTATAATATTATATGTTGTATATGTATATCTTGTAAAATAATTCAACTTTTGATAGTCAATATAAATTCATTTTCATAGACATATCCATTGTAATAATTTTTTTATTATGATCTCCGATTTTAAAGAAAATGACAAGGAACAAAAATCAAGTTAACTTCATTCCTCGATCAAAAATTAAGCCTAATAATAAAAATTACAGAGAAAAAAGTCTTCTATTACGAATTGAAAACTATAATCAGAATTAGGAATACTTTCGCTGATCGTTTGAAAAAGGTATTCAAACAAAACAGAAATACCTATAGCCATAAAAATAGTATCTGCTATTGTTTAATTTATTTTTAATTCTATAAGTTAATATAATCATATGGAGTATAGAACCCGATAAAATTAAGCTAATTCATCACTATAAAATAAAATTAAAAAGACTTTTTATACGACCTTCGTGTGTAACTAAATATAATATTTAGTTTTAGAATTAACAGAAAATAGGCTTTTCCTTGGAAAAAAGACAGATGTATCATTTCCTTCCTATTATTTTCAATTCAATTCAATTTTCTAATTAATGGTTTGAAAGCGTGCAAGTTGGGCATAGATTACTTCGCCAATGTCACCTTAAAATGGAATTCATTTTACTTTATCATTCATCATAAACTAATGACATACAAATAGCTTTTAATGAAACAATTTAAATAAGCAAAGAGCTTAAACTATTAACTCTGAATGTATTTTATCTAAACGTTAGGTTTAAGGGACTGTATAAAGCTTCCTTATGTAAATCTGTATTCAATATCTCTATACGTAATCTAACCTACCTCATTGATAACAAATATTTTTCCTAATTTAATATGGTATTAGTTTCAAGACACGCATTTTCAAAATGAGGTTTTATATTGTAAAAAATAAATATAAAATTTGAGTCTATCAAATGAAATTATTAGTTAATCAATTATTATATAACTAATAATGGTGCTTATTTTCATAAAAGATAATATAATTTTAAGTTAATAACTCAATTAAACTAGTCTATAAAACGTTTTTTTTTTTAAATAAATTATTCTCAATGTTTAAAGACTATTTAAATACTCAATTATAAGTTCTGTTTTTTCCATATTATATTTGATAAATTACTTGTTCATCTAAAATCTTAAAATTTTAACGTTCCTCGATCTAATTCGTTGGTGTATTCGATGTTTTATTATAATTATTGTCCATTAGGCGAACGTTGTATATTATGTGCGTATAAATATTATGTACAATTATATGAGATGTTACACAATCCTTGTATTTTCATTTACATGCTTACCAATAAAATACGTCATAACGTAAGCTTCTTTATTTATCATTTCCTTCCAATAGAATATAACGGAAATTAAATCAATTCTTCATTAATGCACGAATTTTTAATTGTATTTTATTAAGTTACTAATATTACTTATATATCAAAATATTATTTACTTTATCATTATAAATTATTAACGTCCATTCTGTAGATTTTTTCATTGTGCAGTTAGTACCTACTTCTCCCTTCTCTCTATTTGCGAACATACTTTATGAATAATTATTTGTCTAAATAATACCAGTTTTTCTTTTTTTCTTTTTATCGTGTATTAAATTTATTAATAATTATTACATATAACATTAATGTTATTGTATTTTTAAACTAAAAGAATTACGTAATATTTCCTTTGAAAAATACTAACAACTAAATTAAAATGGGGAAGAACTTTGCCTTTTTCTACCGCTAAATGTCGCGATCACTATAATATAGTATAGTAAAGTTCTATAGCGTGGATGGTTTTTTTTTCATTTTAGTTACAATTTAATTAAAATGACAAATTGTGCAATGCCAGGATGCAAAGAAAATGGATGGAAAATTCGTTCCCAAAAGAAAAAAAACTGAAGAAATTGTAGGCTAAACCAATAAGACGATCAAAATTGGCGAAATCACAATCTTTATATTTAAGACTATGTGACAGAAAGTGATTTTTAAAACTCTTAAATCGTCTACAGGTGAATTTATATATTTTTATATATTAATGTACTTTTTTACATATTAATTACAGAGTTTCATACAAACTTTCATACTCATTTTTCCCCTGTATGGGATTAAATTCCGAAAATTGCTTACACATGTCGACGTAGGAAAGCATATTTGCTGTAAGTAGACAAAATACCTAAACTGACTTTTTGCTACCAATAAAAAGTCGCATCGAATGACCCGGGTCCTGTGTCTCTACGATGAAAAATACATACACCGTTGAAAACGCCCGTACTTATATTTTTTTAGCAAGATTAAAAGCTGTATGTAGACCAAAATATATTTATTTTAGACATTTTGTACTTACAGCAAAAGAAAGACTGCATTTTTTGCTTTACAAATACTTACTTCTTCCCATTTAAAAACTTAACTACTTACAGCATTTCTGCGGCGTGTGATTTTTACATTCGTTTACTTACAGCAAGTTTAGGGACCTACAGTTTCAGTTTTTGTTACTTACAGCAAATCATCACGTATTTGCTTTAAAAGCTCACACCACATAATGCATTTTAAAAACCTATGATTTGAGATAATGCATTTTGATAAATCATTTATCATTTCATTTTACCGTTACGCCATTGAAAAACTGATAGTACTTTGAAGATGTGTCGGTGTTACCGTATATCCGCCCGCACCCTTCATTCCTTGTACGACCTTCTGTTATTGTCTCATTATGTTTTATCTCTTATATATAAGAGAAAAATCCTTTTTTAATTCATTGTATTGTTGAAACGAAGTTCTGGCAGTATAATTAGAGTTTCAAATTTTGTTTCAACAATTTAAAAGACCATAATTTTTTTTTACCATTTACGACATTTCAACCAAACATTACATTACCAACTGACCCATTGCATTTCTAGATCTAATCATAATTATAAATTTAATCTTACATCATGATTTGCAGTACCCAAATAAATAAATTTACTGCATACAGCATATTTACCGCCTGTAAATTGATAATATCCATCTACGCGTACATTTTTCTTCCTTAGTTACAGCGTTTTAAACGTATGTGATTTAAAAAACTGTTTGCTGTAACTAGCCAAACACGTACTTACAGTAACTTTGGATAAAAAGTTTACATTGCAAGTGGTGACTGGCAGTTAAATAAACCTATGTTCCAAAAATGGTAGCAATATCATTTATAGGTCAGACACTATTAATTTTTTTCCGAAATTAATAAAGTTTTTTGGCTCTGGTGAACAATTGCAATATGTCTACTTACAGCAAAATTGCTTTCCTACGTCGATGTATTTATTTAACTGTATTGAAGAACAGTAATACCAACTTTCAAGTAATATTTTCACATATAAACTTTATTACCGCCTTTTACTCTTTTAACGGATGGATTTCGAAAAAATCAAATAAATATATTTTTAATTTTTTAATTTTTAACTTAAAGCTAAAACACCACTTTCTGTGTATTTCATTAAGAATGTTAGTGTGTGAATAGGGATTTAAAAATCGTATGAAACAGAGTGACATACAATTTTTAATCCCCTATTTGACACACATCTGGGATAAATTTCGAAAATCCTTTCTTATGGGATGTCTACATCATATTATAAGGAATAAGGAATTTCACGTTTCTACGACCAGCGGCTTAGGCTATGTGTTGATCTATCAGTCAGTCAGGACCACCACAGCATGCACCTCTCCTTCTCAATTCTTCCTTTAGCTGATCTAACTTCCAAGTGCAATACATTGTACAGGTAATATGCGAACACAATAGAAGCAAAAAACCAAGTACAATAGAGATATCATAATAAATTGCTACACCTCAGACTAAACGTAAATAGGCCATACATGTGGCTCCCACCTTTCGAGAAATCTTCCCCATTATAGAGCTTAAAATATTGTCTTTATTTAATCTGTTTGTATTTATTATCAAACATAGTCTGTATCTAGGACGATGTATCAGCCTACCCTACCCCAGCCTGCAAATTTATGATATTCGCAATGAAAAAAATACTAATCGATAGATTTTTAATAGCTCAATTCAACTACGTAGCCCTTCCAAATTGCTCACCATTAATTATAAAATTAAAAATCAATAAAGTCCTTGAAAAAAAATTCATATATCCGTATATTCAAATTTCTATATCTTTTGATATATACAATATTTTAAATTGCTCAAAGTTCTAAAATACTGCTCAAGTTGCATTTGTAGTTGCTCAAGTAGAGTTCTCACCAGCTCCACTTTCGCTGATTATTGTAGTAATGATGTATCACAACATCGTCCTAGGTCTGTATTGACTTTTTATTATTTAGTCTGTGTAAACAAAATGTCAACTGTCCCTTGCTGTCAAAACATTGACAAGTGACAATGGCAACCGCGGGTCAACATTCTGCGTTCAACAATTTCAAATTTGTTTCAAGTTTCAACTTTCAGTCGTGTGAACGCCATCGTGGCATAGTGATGTGTTAAATAGTTTTGCATTTCTTATCATATTACACGCTAGACGGTGTTTTTATAAATACACCCACGCTTTTCCTATTGTAAACAATATGGAACCGATGTTTTTTGGTGGCGTGGAAGGGTAAGTGCTTTAGGATAATATTATTGGAGTAGCATTCGAGAGTAGAAAGGTTTGCCTTGGATTTCTAGTTTCGAAATTAGCTGCACTGCGTTTCGAAAGTCTTTTTACATTATTTGAGTATTGTAATTCCATTAAGGATGTGCGAATATCGAATACTTCGTGTTAATAATATAATTACACTCGCAATATTGATAATTAAAATAAAACAAACAGCACCGGCTTAACGGTAATTGATAATAAACTTTATAACGATTGTGATAAGCGCTTAATTAAAGTATGCACATTGTAAAATATGCATGGAATTCAATGGTAACAACCTTGAAAGTTTTTACATTTACTTTTCTATTTAACTGCTTACAATTTTTATTATAAGCAACGTCCAAAAATCGAACTTTATAATACATCATAAAGTTTGAACTGTTGTTATTAAATAGGTATTATTTTTGGGATTAATGTGGCATTTCTTTGTATATAATTAATGCTTTTAATTAAAAAAAATGAAAACATTCATTAAATTAATCTACATTAGGTGTAAAAAAAAAACTAAAGTTTATTGCTCTCACGTCAATTAGGTACCAATATTACAACCTAAACGAAGGTAGGTACTTGACCTGCACTTGTTATAAATAGATCTTGAGAAATTGGGTCACCATCAGTTCAAGGTAAATAAGATATATAAACTTACCTGAAATATAAGGCTTAGGTAGGTACCTAACTTTTGCATAAAACAAAAATATATTATTTAAAAAGTATAAAATAACAAAACTGTGGATGGTGGTATTAGGTAAAATTAAACTGTGTATGTTATATTCTGCACAAATTGTCTATTAAAAATATGGATATTTGCTGTAATGGGACTCCATTGTAAATTTCAATTCCCTTTCTTTCAAACTTTAAAGTTTAAAGGTTTACTTCAATTTTATATGGAACTCAACTTCAACTCTCAAGTTCATTAGAAAAAGTATCATCATGATCGGCACAGATATTGTGTAATATATAAACAAAAAACATAGGTACATAGAGAACCTTATATGAAAAGCATTATATGTTAAATGGATAACAATTTTAGCCGACTTTGATGTACATCCTATAATTGTTTTGTATTAGTGCCAAATTACATTAAGGCCAATGCATCAAAACACAATTATAAATGTCGATAGGATATAAAGAGAGTGATGCTAGATAAAATAAATGATATGTAGAGATATTTAAACTTTGTAGGGGAAGGAACCTGAATATCGTTTTTTTTTGAAAATGAGATAAACACATCATTGTAGTTAAATAAAATTTTGTGTGTGGAATCTTGGAAATTCAGGACGAAGCTCTTAATATCAGATCTTCCTCTGCCTGGCATTTATTAGTACCGCCTCTACGTTGCACGGTCTTAAGCATCCTTCTGGCTAAGTCCATTGGCTTTCATGTCCTGCTTCACGACATCCAGCCATCGCTTCCTTGGGCACCCGGGAGGTCTAGTCCAGGGACAGGTCCATCAAGGCACTTTCTTCCGACATAGTCCTTAGATCGACGCGCGCATGCCATACCACCTCAGACGATGCTCTTGAAGCTTATCCGTTACGTCACGGATCTCGAGACTGCTTCTAATGAACGTGTTGCGTATGCAGTCAGTCCGCGTTACGCCGCACTTCCATCTCAGCATCTTCACCTCCGTGACGTAAAGCTCCTGAGTGTGCCGAGATTGTCTTGGCCAGTACTCGCTTTAGTATAAAAAGTACCGGTCGGATGATGCTTTTGTATGTCTGTGTTACGCCATTTGGCCCATACACTTTTGGCAACACTTATACGGGCTTGAACGTCGTGATCCACAATACGTTTTTAAAAATATATTTCATGTACAGATAATACAATTTTATTATATAAGTATACATACATGTAGATGAGTATAATATATAAATAAAATCATAAAGAGAATTGTTTATGCATGATTAATTATCTTCACAGTCATATATTAGAGGCACGTCAATAAATAGTAATAAAATAAAGACATTAACCGCGTCTGTGTGCTTAGTAGGTACTTATCATGTGATTTTCAATATGTCTCATCTAGAGAATAATAAAAGAGAATTTCTTCCACAACTTTGTGGAAGGCAGTGGTATCACAGTGGTAATGCCTGGGAAACCAAGTGTTCCTGGTACTCGCACCTTTTGTCTTACGGAGAAATTTTCATGTATGAGAGAATCTAGCAATTTTTCAAAAAACATCAGAAGGCCACCAGCATCTGGCCAGCAGTTTGGTTTTTTGGAGACAAATGCCTAATACACGGAGCAAGACTCGCAGCAAATATGTATAATACGTGTTTGTTTCTAACTGCATAATATGTTCCTTCGTCAACTTGTTCCCATATTTTTAGTTTGCTTTTTGACGTCTAACGTGAGTCTCTGTTGTGATCATGATTGTTGTAAAGCATTCATAACGTCGTCAGGAACCTAAAGTCAAAATAAATTCGCGAAAAATCCGAAAATATAGTATTTATTAAAAGGATATCAAATATTCGAGTTTATCTAAGAAAGTATTATTAAAACTTTTGTCTAATGATTGACACGCGCGGACACACATACAAACTTTCGCATTTATAATAGGTAGGTAATAGTATGATACAGTTATTCATAAATCACAATGCGCAATATTGTACCTACTTGCAAGTTATATCTAAAAGCCAACGATGCACTACACTCGTAACTAATAAACGCTGCAAAAATGAAATAATTTTAATGATCTGTGAACAAATTATGATTGACAACTCATAAATATCTAATTATTTTTTTAATAATATTCATAAAGCGTTCTTTGTCCTAGTGCATTATGATAGAAATTAGAAACAATGCCATTCATTTAAATAAACCCATTTACTATTTTAAGAACGTATAAAATGATTGAGTCTTGAACAATAAGATTTGTATTTATCTTCTTCTATTCTAATATTATGGAGAGGAAAAATTTGTTTGTTTCGGAATAGGCTCTGAAACTACTGAACCGATTTAGATGAAATTTGGTAAGAAGATAGTTAGAGACCCTGGAAAGGACATAGGATACTTTTTGTCCCGGAAATCATCCCTTAATGTGGTGAAAGTTTGTATGGGGAAGCAACTTGGATTCAAACCCGGGCGAAGTGAGTGTGAGTCGCTAGTACCTAATATATAAAATTCTCGTGTCACGTTGTTTGGAATCCAAAACTACTAATCCGATCTTAACGTATTTTTTTCAAAATATGTGGTTTGTTCCAACTGAAATGGTAGGATAGTTTTTATCCCGTTTATATTCTTTTTTTATTGCAATATTATCGATTTTCATATGTATGCCTCAGCAACGCGTGTTAATAATAATACTCTGAGTCGAATCTGTACATTAAATATTTTTTTAAATCTTATTGAAATAGTCATTATTATCGATACAGAGGCCGAATCTATCGTTTTTAAAACATTTGTCTGTCTGTCGATCTGTCTATGACCGCATCACGAGAAAACCACTGGACAGATTTTGATGAAATTTGGTATGATAATAGCTAGTTATCCGGGTCAACATATGGGATACTTTTTACTCCCCCCCAACGTGCGTTCACCTTGTCGTGGTGGGGGGGCTCAGTAGTAGTAGCGAAGCTAAGAAACGCACAGGGAGGTTGCCCACTTCGGTGGGCGGTGGGAGGTGGCCCTCTTCGGGGGGCGGTGTACCTTGCGGGTTGCTCCTGGTACTTCTCTGATAGCAGAGTGGACCTTGGAGCAACCCCATGGTTGTGGTGGTCTGCTTTGGCAGACCTGCCGTCGGGGCGTCGTAGTTGAATGCGTAAGCGATCCTGCGACGCTCCATTATGACGGGGGAAGGTTTTGTTGGGTTTTAGTGGGTAGTACTGGCTGTATTACGCCGGTGAGTCCCACACGTCGTGCGTAAATGCATTTCCCAACGTTAAAAAAAAAAAAAAGGGATACTTTTTACTGCGGGAAAATATCTTATCGCTGAGAGACCTATAATAAAGGTTAAAACGTAACTAGGGACGAACCCGAGCAGAGTGAGGGTGAATCGCTAGTCTAAAATAAACTAAAACTTAAACTAAAGTTAAAATGTTCAAGTTTAGTATTTACGAGTTCCACACACAGTTGTAGTTGTGAAGTGCATATGTTTTTTATTTATTTTCTTTAAGACTAGATATTTTTATTTGTTTTTCGTGAATGATGAATTGAGGAAATATCATTTAATCCGGTAATCGAATCGGAATCGCCCATGTAACGAGCACGTACCACCACAACATTACTATACAACTATTTTAATGTATTATGTATGTAAATGAATGTGTAATACCGGTTCTTGTAATATCAACGTGTTTGTGGATCCTTTGACCTTGGGAGTGGAAGAGATAAGGTGATTTATTTATGTTGTATTTCAAATCATTTTAAAAATCGCATCCATAATGCTTCTACATTGGAACGATGCAAAATGTCTTAAAGCTTCTAAAAGCTATTAATTCATTCATATTATTTTCATTTGGGCATGTATGCCTACAGCATGTATACAAAAGTCATCGGTTTGAAACGTTTTTAAGTTTACTAGCGACTCACCCTAGCTACGTTGACTTAGGTACGATTTGTTGAGGGACGTGTGGGATAACGTGTTTTCCCATGCCATGTTAAAAGTAGCCTATGTCACTCTCCAGCAATCAAACTGTCTCCACACAAAATCACGCGATTTCGTTAGTCTGTTTTGACGTGAAAGAAGGACAAACGCCATAGTTTGCTCGCACGACATCTCGTAAAACCCCTGTTTTTTAACGGAATAATTGTAATCAACATGTCCACCCTGAAAGATCGGTTGCATTGCTACATCCAAACTAACATGAATTATGGTATGGTATATTCGGGCTTGTTTCCGCAACTCGACGTCTGCGCGCCTATTTTGCGTGTAACAAGAATTATCTCATATATAAACTAGCGGCTCGCCCTTGCTTCGCTCGGGTTCTCCTCTAGAAAAGCACAAACACATCTATCCCACG